TCCTATGAGAAGCACAAGTCCGACCAATGGCTCTATAAGCTACAAATCTTGCAACATGCTTTGGGAGGGCCCAAGCTCAAGAAGCCACTAAAGTCGAGTGCCACGACTATAACAGCTATGCAGACCTCCTCTTTTTCCTACGAGAAACACAAGTCCAGCTGATGGCTTTATAAGTTAAAAATCTCGCAACATGCCCCGGGAGGGCCCAAGCTCAAGAAGCTACTAAAGTCGAGTGTCATGACTATAGGAGCTACGTGACCTCCTCTACTTCCTACGAGAAGCATAAGTCTCGTCGATTGCTCTATAAGTTAAAATTTTCACAATACGCCCCAAAAAGGCTAAAGCTCACGAAGTTACCCAAAGCCAAGATTCATAGCTATAATAGCTACGCAAACTCGTATACCTCCTATAGAGAAAACGAGTTCGGCCATTAGCTCTATAAGTTGGAAATCTCGCATTTCTTCCTTTTGCAGGTAAAGTTCTAGAAGCCCTAAAGCCAAAACTGAAGCCTAAAGTGACTGCATAAGTCAACTGCTCCATCGAGGTAGCCAACTCAACCATCCGTCCTACGGCAAAGTTTTGCAACACGCCTCAAGCAGGCAAGGCTCCCAAAGCCCAGAAGCTGAAACTAAAACCTAAGTGACGATGTGGGATTAACTGCTTTGTTGGAGCAGCTCACCCAACTACACGTCCTACGGTAAAGTTTCACAAAAGACATGGCGAAATAGAAGGATGAAGTAAAAACAAGGAAATATGTTTATTAAATTTCTAGCAAATTGATAAACCGGCTCTAATGCTAACAAAGTTCAAGCAAAGCAAAACAAAAAGGAAAAAGAAAAAGACTACTCCTTAGTAGCTTGCGCAACCACTGGTTCCTTGACTGCCACGTCTTCAGCATTCGTGCCATTCGTAATAGCTAAAGTTTCTATCAGCTCATCCTCAACCGCCCCTGCTTGGACTACCTAACCCTCAGCTGCTCCACCAAAGGCAGCCTCAAACGAGAAATCAAGCAGATCAACTAGAAAAATGGAAAAAATACTCGAAGTCCTTCTCAGAAAACTTATAATCCGATGGCCTGCCCTGAAGATGGTCTACATAGCTAAGCTTGTAGAAATCGGCCTGACAAGAAGCAAATGCTACTTCGTGACTAACTTTCTCATTCTTCAGTTACACATTCTCATCAACAAACCTAATATGAGTGCCCTACAGCTCATCCAGTTCCTTTCTCAAGTTATCGTTATCAGACAGCACACCTTGCAGATTTATTTCCTTGGACTTAAGCTTATGGGCAACCTCCTTGAGACGAGACACTTCAGCATGCATGAAGATAAGCTTCTCATCCTTGGCAAAGCAAGTAGATCATAGCTCTGAATTGACACGCTCAAGGTTCTCGACCACCGGAGAAACACGACTGATTTCCTTCTCTGCAGTTTCCAACATCACCTGAGTCGCACTAAGCCTAACATTCAAATGGGCAACCTCCTGATGAGCGAACTCCAGCTGCAAAGAAGTGGGGGCAGAGACATCAGACCTCTTCAAAAGGACGAGTTAAGATTCGAGCTTCGAGATCTTTTTAATAGCCGAGCGAAGCTGAGCCACCAATGCCACTTCGGCCTCCTTATCACACTTGACAACATCCTGATCAACGCGCCTAGAGTCAGCTGCTAGGATCAAAGTCTTATGAATTGTAGCAATCAGGGAGAACCTCCTCGAGTAGGCAAGATACTTCGCAAATGAGTCTGAGCGGATGACAACTTTCCCAACACTATTAAAAAACTTGGCACATGCATCAATATCCTCAAGCAGTTCAGCCTTCAGCAGCGTACAAACCTCGGGAAACTCTCCAACCTCAAACTTGGTTGATATCTCACAACTGCCCGTGCGAGCAGATTTCCCCTTCTCAGCAGACGAGTCAGTCACAGCAGAAGGAGGAACAGGCCCAGGTGCCACCTTAGCAACAGAATCCACCTTATCCCTCTTCATAGCGGCAAGTTTCTCATAAGATGATCCAGACTTAGCTCTTGATGGACGCTTCGACATAAACCTGGACACTGGAGGCGTCACTGAACCTTTCTGCTGGACAAGTATCTCAACAATGGGCATGGTCACCTTTGGAGCAGCAGGTTTCACAAGTTTAGGCTCAGTGGTCTTTTTTGCCCTATTTGGGGAAGTTAGATCAATGATAAGCTTCTCGACAGCATACGAGCTTCCACGAGCATGAGAAGAAGTCCTAGGCTTCTTCTCAGCCAAAGGCTCATAAGAAGGTGAGGAAGACCTCTTTTTTCCACCCTCATTGGCAGCATGCTTTACAATAGCGATCGAGCGAGCCAACGCTTCATCCTTTATCCATTTTATCTCTTCCTTAGGAGGCAGGCCACATTTCTCCCGACGAAGAGGGTTAAGTAGCCAGCATCACTTATGGTACTCAATAGGAATGCCCAAGGCGTTGTGCACTTTCTTCATATCTACTGAAGTCCTCGGAGTTGAGCCTAACTCTGAATCTACACAAAGCAAGAAAAACGATCAATAAATTGAAGTCATAGAGTAGCTCAACAAAAATTTAAGCAAGACAAGAATGAAGCAGTTCACTTACCACTGATAAAAGTAGTCGGGACACACAGCTCAAGAAAAGAGTCAGACTCCCACTATCCTCTCACCTCTAAGGTATCTCTTGCCCATTCATGATCACCTTTTCTAGAAGCATCGAGCATCCTATGGCGAGATATCAGCTGCCGCACACCTTCCTTGTGGCTAATCTCAAAGAAATACCAAAACTCATTTATGGTAAAGCTATGATCAAAGAACCTACTCAAGTTCGAGAACCTCATCATCGCATGAACTGCATTTGGGGAACAGTGAGCAGGCACGCATTTCATAGAGCAGATCACCTCCTAGAAAAGACGCGGCATGGGAAAAGTGAATCCCAACATGCATCTCAGAAGAAGAGTCAGACGCCCACCCTCTTTCCCTTCTCCAATTTCCAACGAGCCTGAGCCTAGCATCGTGTCACCTGGCCCACACCAGCCACGCACTGAGCCCAACTCGCGCCGCCAACACCTCAGTCAAGCCGAGTCGACCCATGTCACACCACTAAGCAACCCTATGGCTCCTTGCCGTGTGTCACCCACACCCACGGCCCCCGCCAAGCCAGTTTTTCAAGTCCCAAGACTCCTAAAAAATTCAAGAAAAAGAAAATTCAAATTTCTCTTACCTTGGTGTGGCACGGAAAAGAAGAATTACAACGAGAGACAACTCTTTGCAAAGGCAAGAAAAGAATAACGCTAGGGGTGGAGGAATAAAAATTGCCTCTGGCTTCCCTTCCTTGTTGGAATAATGATTGTTCTCCAAATTTATTTAATCCCCTACTTAAGGCAGAATTAAATAGGTATTGGGGGCAATTATTTTCCTTTCCTAGAAGAATTCTATCTCCAAATCAAGAAAGAATATCAAGTTCAAATTGGGAAGCAATTCTACAAGCCTAAGCAGCTTGGGATTCCTACACCTGCTATCATTTTCCTACGTGCAGCACAGTAGGTGTGGGGGCATTTGTGGAGCCCAAAATAATCCCAAAAATTCTAGAGGCGGCATGTGGACTTTTATTCAAGAAAGACAAGATTGCCCTCAATAAATGGGCAGACTTCTCAAATGCTCCCACGCATAGCTCACACCCCTAGAGACCTCAACAGCTAAACACAACTGCCCACAACTCACCTGCCCTTGTCAAGGAATTAAAGAGAAGAATTAATTACCCAAATCCTATCTTTAATACATTCCTAATTGAAGATTGACTCCAATCAAGTAAGTAATCCTAATTTAAATCAATTAGGGATAATTACCCCCATTATCTCAAGATATTATCTCCTATTAAATATCTTGGGAATATTTAGAGAATATTCTCCATTAAACATTATATGGCCAGCCCTAGCCCTATAAATAACTCATATTCTACCAAATTTTCATAGCCTTTGGCAACCCTAAAAAACCCTAAACACTTTACTCTCTCAGAGAAACTAACTTAGATATCGGAGATCCGTTGACCTAACCCCCTACCTCATGGGCGGGTGAGGCTTAGGTCTCTGAGTCTTTGACCAACACATGCCAATATTAACCATTTTTTTTTCTTTTTTTTAAAGACTAACTAGTGGTTTTGACACAACCCAACAAAAAAACACAATATTAACCATGGGCTAAATTTCAAATCAGCTTCGAGTCACACTATTATTGTATGTCCCTTGTCGGTTACGCGGTTGATTTCCGCGCCAAGCTTTCCAATGTTCCATGACTTCCATATTCCTTCCCGTTTTCAGTTATATGGAATTTGATGTTCCAAATAAACGGTAACCTTTTTTTTTAATATAAATGAGTAATGTTATTCATATCATGTTTTTATACATATTTGTATATCATTTTAAGTGGTATTTGATGTGGACAGTCACATCATTTGAAAAATTTGCAAAACCCAAGAAAATGAAGGAAAATGACTTCTCGTATTAGTTTATTAAATAATGAACTAAATTTAAAAATCTGATTAATTCAAATAATATGACTGTCCACATCAAATGCTACCTAAGATGGTATGAAAATGTGGTACAAAAACATGGTGTGAATAGCATTACTCTTTTTAGGATGAGTAATGCTATTCATACCTGCATATTTTTGTATCACATTTGCATACCACCTTAGGTGACATTTGATGTGAACAGCCACATCATTTGAATTAATCAGATTTTTAAATTTAGTTCATTATTTAATAAACTAATAATTAAGAAAAATTAGTTAATTAAATGATATTGTGGTATACAAGAAGTCTTTCTTCTTCCTTTCCTTAGGTTTTGCAAATTTTTCAAATAATGTGGATGTCCACATCATATGTCATCTAAGGTGGCATAGAAATATGGTATAAAAACATGGTATGAATAACATTACTCTTTTAGTATCGAATTACAAACCCTGCTATTTCATGTGACCACAAAACTCTATATAAACCCAAAAATCCCCACTTCATAGTTCAGCACAAAAAAGGAAACCAACACTTCCTCTTCCACTCTTGCCCCCATGGAAACAAAAATTGATGATAGCTTATGGGTTTTGGCAATCTTCTCCAAATGCCAAGCCTTAACCTCCACAACCACCGTCGTTGCATTCATCTGCACGGCCGCAGCTTGGCTAAGCGCGGCCGTCTTCTACTGGGCATCTTCTCCCGGAGGCGCAGCATGGGGAAAACTTCGATGGAGGAAAAGAAACTCTTGTAATAAAAATGAAATCACCAACTCCAACCCAATTCCCGGGCCACGTGGATTTCCAATAATAGGAAGCATGAACCTCATGACAAACCTAGCTCACCACAAACTCACAAAAGCGGCGGAGGTTTATGGAGCAAAGAGGCTTATGGCTTTTAGCATAGGCGAGACGCGCGCCATCGTCACATGCGACCCCAACGTAGCTAAGGAGATCCTCAACAGCTCCGTCTTTGCCAACCGTCCTATAAAAGAGTCGGCTTACTGTCTCATGTTCAACCGAGCAATCGGGTTCGCTCCTTATGGAAGCTACTGGCGTACCCTCCGCCGCATCGCCGCCAACCATCTCTTCTGCCCGAAGCAAATCTCCACTTCCGAGTATCTCCGTTCCAGGATTGCTGATCAAATGGTGTCCCTTATCTCGACAAGTTGTAACAACAGCTTCCTTGTCCGCGACGTACTTAGGAAGGCTTCGTTGAACAGCATGATGTGCTCGGTTTTTGGACGTAAATACGAGCTGAGTTCGTCAAATGAAGAGACCGAGGAACTGAGTCGACTTGTTGATGAAGGTTATGATCTGTTGGGAAATTTGAACTGGTCTGATCACCTTCCTTGGCTTGCCGGTCTGGACCTCCAGAGCATCCGGTTTAGATGCAACAAACTCGTTCCTCAAGTGAACCGGCTCGTCAGCCGAATTATTCAAGAGCATAGAGCCCAAACCGGTCCGAATAACAATGATTTTGTCGACGTTCTTCTTTCTCTTGATGGAGCTGATAAGCTGTGTGACAATGATATGATTTCAGTACTTTGGGTAAGCGAAAAATTCTCGTCTACATAAAAATTACTGTTCCATATTTGTTGTCTAACTTTATGTTTGATAGTAGATATATAGTGGATTGTTTCGGTAGTTATGACATATTCTTTTTTAATGTGTTTTGCATTCAAATTCTTAATATTTTTTAGTGTAAATTAAAATAGAATATTGTTTTTAAGTAAAAAAATGTATTATATATATATATATATATATAATATAATTGCGCAATGTTTCTCAAGCTAATAGAGTAGTACCACGATTATAAATTTTTGCGGATACTTTTTTCTCATTTTCTTTTTTACTTCAACTCTCAATAGAAATTATTGAGTATTTGTTAATGCTACATTCATACTATAGGAGATGATATTCCGAGGAACAGATACTGTAGCGGTTCTGATAGAGTGGATCCTTGCAAGGATGGTGATGCATCATGATATCCAATCAAAGGTTCACGAGGAGCTCGACCGCGTCGTGGGAAAATCAAGGGCGTTGCTGGAATCCGACATTCAATCCTTGCCTTACCTGCAAGCAGTGGTCAAAGAAGTGCTCAGAATGCATCCTCCGGGCCCACTCCTATCATGGGCCCGTTTATCCATCACAGATACTGTAGTAGATGGCTATTACGTGCCAGCAGGGACCACAGCAATGGTGAATATGTGGGCCATAACAAGGGATCCAAAAGTGTGGTCGGATCCACAGGAGTTTCGGCCTGAGAGATTTGTATCTACTAACAAGAAAGCTGACTTGCAGTTCTCTGTGTTCGGGTCTGACTTGAGGCTGGCACCGTTTGGGTCGGGCAGGAGGAGCTGCCCCGGGAAGACATTGGGGATGAGTACAGTCAACTACTGGGTCGGGTTGTTGTTACATGAGTTTGAGTGGTTTAAGTCGGATCTTGATGCCCAGGTAGACCTGTCCGAAGTGATGAGGCTTTCATGCCAAATGGCTAACCCTCTTACCATCCAAGTGCATCGTAGGCGCTACCAAACAAATTAAAGCATATGCCCGTTACTTCCCGCCCCAAAAAACCCTATGTCCGAGTGTTCATTTGTTTGTCCTTGGCCTATCACCAAAGACAAGAATTTAGTAAGATATATATGCTACGAAGCTATTTGTAAGATGTAGACCCTCTAAGTAATGTCTCGTTAAGTGTATCGGACTGTACTCACAAACTTCGGTCGTAAATTATCCGTAAGCGTGTTGGACTATGTGATCTTTACAATGAAGCATATGCTGTTATAATGGACTAAAACTTATTAATTGTAATGTATTTATTCCCATAGTAGCAATCAAACTGTCTTTTGTTATTATAAAACTTTATCAAACCATAGATTTTTGCCTTGATCGATGTTGGTAATTTTAAGACCCTCACAATTATCCATTTCAAATGACAGTTTGAATTGAGAACTTACATGACCTTCATTTTTGTGAGCAAGATGGTCATTTCTTATGTTTCCTCCCGAAATAACTTCTCATTAATGAGAGAGAAAAAAAAGTACAGTACTACGGACCAATCATCAAATGCACTAACTTAAATCAAAACTAGGTAGTGTGAAAACACATATGAGAATTGTGGGAGCAAAGTTCACCTCGGATTGAATTGACGAAAACTTACGTACACAAATAAACGAGACGAACAAAGTTAGACCAACACCGATGTGGGTTTTAACATTCAAAATTAGGAAGTCAATCATTGATGAGTATGGGTTAATGCTCATCAATAGAAAGGTTAACTTAAAGAATATAATTGGGATTAATAGTAAGATAAACACAAAGATATATAGTGGTTCATCCATAAACAGGGCTACATCCACTGTAGTTTGTATATATATTTGTATTACCAGAGAATAGGCCCCTTCATAAATAAAAGGGTCCAACCCTTTCTTCTACATGACAAACCCTTCATATAGGCCTAAGGTCATCCACCAGAAGCTCACGTATATGGCTAAGGGAAGGCCGCTTTTACAAGATAATGTGGCCTCATGTAAACCACTTAATAAATATCTGGAGACTAACAAAGATAACAAATATCTAATCTTGATCAAGTAGTAAAAGGGTCTTCGCTTAATGGTGGTATATTAGAAGAGTACTCTGCAAAAATGGTCGTCCATAGAGCACTTTGGAGAGGTGGTCTTCCGTAGAGTACTTTGGAAAGGTGGTCGTGGTCATTCATAAAGCACTCTAGAAAGGTGGTTGTTAGTAGAGCACTCTGGAGAGATGTTCATTCGTAGAGCAGTCTGGAGATGTGCTTGTCCGAATAGCACTCCAGAAAGGTGGTCTCTATAAAGCACTATGGAGAGGTGGCCTCTGAATAGCACACTAAAGAGGTGGTTGTCCATAGAGGACTCTAGAGAAGTGATATCTATAAAGCACTCTGGAAGGGTAGCCTCTGTAGAGCACTTTGGAGAGGTGGTCTTTGTAAAGAACTTTGGAGAGGTGGTCTTTATAGAACACTTTGGAGAGGTGGTCTCTATAGAACACTTTGGAGAGGTGGTCTCTCACATGCTAAAGGTCCCCTCCATCCAATGGTGATCTAGTCCCCAGTCAAATAGTCTTCCCTCACAATGATGACATGAAAATAATGGTATCGGGTCATTCTAGAGACTGCATTAACAATGGTGTTAGCTAAAGGCCCTATGATGCCTAAGTCAGAAAGATTGTAAGAAGTAATAAGAGTGTAATGAGGGTTATTGATCATTAGACTAAAATGACTGGCCTTGGCTATTTATAGAGAAATGAATAGTGAACCCTAACATCTAGGTTCGTTAAACCTATTAGCAGAATGTTACATAGTCTGCACACTAATGGAGGAATATTCCCCTAAGAATTTTTTAATATGCTTTGGAGAGTCTTGTCATGCTAAGAGACTAATAAGCAAGCTCATTACATATCAGGGTGATCTGTGTAGGCCACTTGGCAATCAACTTGTACTGTCTATAATGAATCGGGTCCAGTGGCCTATTGATTATGGGCTTCTAAGACCTTCATAAATAATGTAGCATATTAGCCCGATCAGGGTTTGACTAACGGTCTGTGTATTCCATCAAGAGCATAATAGTTATATTTAATAAATTATACAAGTGACATGTTCTTATTGGTCGAGATATTTTATGTTCCTTTAAATGGCCCCAGCTCTTTGGGTGGATATAAGAAACCCAATGAGATGTAGTTTGTAGTCGCCCAATTAATAATGGTCTTCAAAATGAAATAGTAAGTTGATCTTCAAGGTGGAATGAGAAAGCAATCTTTAAAGTTAATTGGGAAAGTAATCTTCTTCCTTGATCTCCAAGTTGGCTGGAGAGATTTATTTCCTTTAGATTCCAACAATGAATCAGATTATGTTTCTTCATTCAATTGTTGAAACACTTATAGATAGCAATGCTTGAACTCTTCATTCTCATCATAAATATTCGCACGAACATTCGTCAAGAGCTAGCAAATTCAGCGTAAAAAAGTCCAACTTCGCGTTAATGTTGAAAAAAATAAGCGAAATCATTTTCAATATTGTTGTTATTGGTCACGATGGCCTGTTAAGCTGCGGAACTGGCGGTTCCAACCGACCTAGTTTGACTTAGCTAGGTGTTGTTTGGCTGCTGGCGCCGACAGCTTGGCTCAAGTCAGTTAGCAGCTCAGGTCGATGCTCTTTTTTTTTTTTCTCTTTTTTTTGCAACTTGCCTATCTTCAATCTTCTTTTCCATGATAGGTGAACCATATATTTTTCAAAGAAAACCGTCAAAATAAGCCTTCTAAAGTTCCCTTATACAAGCAAGGTGACTAGCTATCATATGTGGGCCATTTTGTTCCTTGTTTGTTGAATATGGATACTACCAAGAAGTGTCGTGATTGGAGGCAAGAGAACCTTTTTTGTGTTTCCACAAAAGTCAAAGTTATCTGGCCGGTGACTATTCTGGCTTGAACTATGCATGAATGAGAATAATCCTCAAGAAGAAGTCGATCATATTTGATCTGTTCTATATTATATTTACGGTTTAAGTTTTCTATAACTCAATTTTCCATTAAAGTGATTTGCACCGTGGGTTTTGTTCCTGCTCAATTGTCGCCGAATGAATATAGGGAGTTGATGTGCTTTGCTAACCTAAGTGAGTTCTTCAAGTTAAAGCTGACCTTCCAGGAGTACTTTTATTTTTATGAAATAAGATGCTTTAGGTTATATGCCCAATTTAGGATAAAGATCAAGTTGTTCAACAAGCCAAGTCAAGGTGACTGAATGAAAGTGCAGAACATTGGAGATTAACAGTGGTTGGGAAACTGAGGATTATGATCTGCAAGTCCCCAAAGTTTTAGCTCTAGTAAGCATTCTTTCTTAGAGATTTTTCTAAAATGAAAATAGTCTGCTTCTGAGCGCCTCTATACTAATTGAAATGTGTTATTTTTTAGGAGTCGATTGTGAAGAAATTTGTTGTCAAGCCAAACATGACAAAAGGTTAGGCGTGCGCTTGCCATCCATGCTAAATATAGAGAGTCGTGTTGGTTGTTGAATCTTTTCAGGCGTCAAGTGGATGATCTACCTATTGTTGAAAAAGTGAAAGGAAAAGTTATGATATATCATGCACCATAAAACAGTCGACTCCATGAATCTGCAGTGCCTTTTTAAAGGAGCAGAAAACAGTCGACTCACTGTGAAATTCAAAGTGAAGTGATGTTTCCACCTACTTATGATGATTCTTTGCCTAGCAAGAGGCTCAAGGCAAATGATGCTCTGCCTGTTAAGAGAAATGATGCCCTCATTTGTTTGTTATGAACTCTTTGATCCAACCTTCTATAGATCCATTGCTGGTGCTCTTCAATATCTCACTTGGACAAGACCTGATTTAGCTTTTGCAGTAAATCAGGTTTGCCAATATATGCACTTTCTTAGAACAATTCATTTGCAGGCAATCAAACAAATATTGAGATATTTAAAAGGCACAATTGATTCAGGATTATGGTTTACAAAAGGCTTTCAGTGTCTCACAGCTTTGTTTGATGCAGATTAAGCAGGTTGCTTTGTTGTCAACAGATCTACCATTGGATATTGTGTGTACTTAGGCCCTAATCTGATCTCATGGAGTGCAAAGAAACAAAACACAGTGGGAAGGTCATCAACAAAAGTTGAGTTTAGGTCTTGATCATACTGCAACTAAACTTACTTGGGCTTGCAAAATTCTTCAAGATATCTCATTTCTCATCTTAAAGAAACCTGTGATTTTCTATGATAACAAAAGTACTATTGCTTTGGCATTTAACCCTACGTTCCATGCTAGAACTAAGCATGTAAAGGTAGATTATCACTACCTCTGAGAGAAAGTTCTACTTGGTCATCTCAATGTTCATCATGTGGCTTCCTTACTTCAAATTGCTAACATTTTTACCAAATCTTTGCTAGCTGATCGTTTTGTTGTGTTAAGTCACAAGTTTTCAGTTCGTTCCCCTTCCTTTAGTTTGAGGGGGTGTGTTAAGAATACTGAAGGACCACCAACATCTCATGGACTCAAGGCACCAGATTAATTTCCTAGTTTGTTAAGTGCTAGTTATGTGTAAATCCTGAGTCAGCCTACAATAGATTGAGAAATAGAATATTTATATATACAATTATATTTGTAATGATTTATTGATATAATGAAAGATCATTTTACAATTCTCTCTCTACTTTCAGTTGAGTTTTGGTTTTCGACAGTTATATGTGTTTTTGATTAATGTAAGAGCAATTTCAAGTTAGTTTATCTATTACCTTTTGCTCTCATAGTAATTAGTCAAATACAATAAATCGTAAAAATCTGCATTGACCAAAAAAGTCAAAGCCGGAACGAAAATCGAACCAAACTGTTTCAAACGGTTCCGATTCCAGTTTGGAAATATTAAGAACCGGAGGAACCGGACCGAAACGCTTTTAATATAAATTATTATTTTTTTTTTTTATATAAATAAGACATTTTTCCAAGAAGAGCATGTGCATAAGCTCAATATTTTTCTTCACTTCTTTCCCCTTCCTTTGTTGTTTTATAACTTTTCTCTCCCTACATTATTTTTCTCCATTCTTTTCCGGTGTATTATGCATTATGTACATCTTAGCTTTAGTTGAAGATCTAAACTTTGGTCTTGATATGAACCTTTCCATCTTTTGATTTATATTTATATGGACACTTTCTATCCTTTGGTCACAAATCTTGTAGATCTAGTAGTGGAAACTCAAATTTACTTGAATTTGTTGTTGAAATATGTGTTTGGTATTAGAAGTAGAAAATGAGAAAAAAAAAACA